TGAGAAGACCCGAGCAACCTCCTTTTCGGCCTCTTGCAAAGCACTAGAACTGAGGGGGGGCTCAGCCAGTAATGGGTTAAAATCAAACACCCGCTCCTCCCCCTCCACCTTTCCTTCCCCCACCGAATCCCCTAAGAACAAACAGTCCAGGCTAAAAGAATCGTTGTTTTGATCTTTAAGTAGAGCTTCAACTGCCGCACTGCCTGAACTCCCACAGTCGTCTGAACTATCAACATGATCAGAATCTGAACCGTAGCTCAACCAGCCTTGATCAACATCTTCTTTCTCTTCTGGTCTGCCTCTCGAATAGCGCTCGAATCTAAAGGGTTTGGGTCCACTCCTGAAAGGTTCTTGTCCTATCTCAATGGGACAATGGTCAGAGGTAACTCTAGGTAGAGCTTTGGATAACAAGTCTTTATTCTAATATTAACATATCATAAAATAATTTCCTCATCTTCCATTCAAGTTACAATTGTCTGACAGTCCCTATCTATATCTACCTCAGTCCACCCTTTTCGTTGCAATTAAATTCAGTCCTTGTATTAAGGCTTGCATCTCTGCTTGTATGGGTTCTTCCTGTTGGACTTAAAAGCTCAAAAGAATGTTGCTTCTGCAGTCCCTAATTACTCAACCAATTCCTGGAGTTCCTTGATATCCTAAACTGCATTCATCAAAGTTGAACTTTGGCCTTCCCCTTGAGGATGGAACAAAATGGAGAAGCTCATACTCTTTACAGGTAACAGATACCATCTACTCTCTAGCAATATCAGAGGTAGGTAGAGTAGTATAAGTTGATGAGCTCGCATTTGTCATTTGTGGCTACATCCTTAGTAACCATGTCATGTGATGGCCCAGGAAGATCATAATAGAAATTAACAATATGTTCATCTAAGCCGTAGTATGTAGACATTCATTGACCACCACATCCTCTTCAACAATCTCCCCTTGACTCTCAACCATCACCACTTCTTATACCCAAATTTTGGTAGCATGAACTCCCCCTCTATTGCCACATCAACCAGCATGTAATTTGACAGAAAACATGGCTCTTGAGAGCACAATAGCAGGACAAGATTCATTTAGCCGACTAGAAATAGTTGGATAAAGGCTGGGTTGAATTTGGTGCTAATGCACATGAAAACCAACAAATGCAATAGGCTTCAATGCAAATGGCTGTTATGATTCATTTTACCCCATGCATGCATCCCTTGCAATGGCCATGGATAGACTATTCATCACAAATGTTCAAAGTATTGATATACTCAATACTCAATAACTGAGTATCGGTGTGTAATCTGATCGATACTCATTATTTCTTTTAACTTTTTGCATCTGACAGTTTACAGACAGGTACATTAAAATAATTATTATTATCTCAAACTTTTAAATCCACCAAAGTCGCACACATATCAGTAGCCTTGAAAATCAATATGTATCTTCTGATATGCATCGATATGTTGCGATAATTTGAACCTTGTTCACCACTTACTGATGTCCTTGTTACAGGGAACTAAGAATACTTCTTTGCTGTCTCTAGACCAATTTAAATACCTTTTTCAAGTGAACTCAATGTTATTTGGTTCATTTTGATTCTTCCCTAGGGCAGCTAGGAGTACATTTATGTGAAGATGCTTGATAGTGGCAGTTCTCCATTCAGTTTGAGAAGAAAGATAAGCTAGAGCTTTCAGTGGAAAAAGCAAGGAGCCAGTCCTAATACACCTCTCATCACTATTAGAGTGGCTCATTGGATATGCACAATGCACTAGATAGAAGTTCAGATATTTTTGTACAGTGTTATGAGAGAATGGTCTAAGATTGCATCTTCTTCTGTTTCTATAGATGTCCCTTCACAATTTCCATTTCCCCCTCATCAGGTCCATTAAAATAAACTTTGATAGATCCTCCTTGGGAACTCAAGTCCATCTAGTATTGGAGGTGTGTTCAGGAGAGACCTGAAGAAATACATCTCTCTCTCTCTCTCTCTCTCTCTGGATTTAGGGTGCATGGGGAGGCTAGCTTGATCCAGCCTAGTTTTTTTTTTTTTCTTATTTTCTTTCCTTTAATTGTAGCTCAAATTTTCATTTCACTGTCTGCAATTAAATTGTTCTGATCTGTTAATGATAAAAATGCAACTAATGAAATCATATCTGCTTAAAATCACTGCATTCTCAAGAGAACTTTTTTTTTGATAAATGGTGAAAGTTATTAATAAAGAGGCAAAAGGAGGGGTCACACCTCAGAAATACATGGAAAGGTTAATAAGATAAAATCATACCTATGAAATACATAAGTTACCTAACAATGAAAGTTTCATTGAAAAGAAAATCCTTCCAATGATTACTATTCTGAACAAAACAACCACCATGGAATTCCTTCAAAATGAGACACTGCTGATCTCATTGTTCTCTCTATTTCCCAAGGCTTCCTTAGAAATGCATTTCAATTCAAATATCCTATTTTTCCTCTCCTTCAAGTTCTCAAGGGACATAATTGAACCTCCATGAGATCTTATTTCCCATGTAGAACGGTATTAAGGCTCATGATAAAGTCTACATAGTTGAGGATGACAATCGTCATGAAGATTTATCCCAGTTTAATGGGAATAATCAAAACTATGGAATACAAGAAGGCAAAAGCCAAGGAACATATTACAACAAAAGTAGCCACCAGGGATGAAGTGCATCACTGATGAAACTTGTGTAAGTTTGAGTAGGTTTCTAATTATGGTATAGCAAAACAGTACTGCACAGGAGGCACCTTAAGAAGCACACATGCAGATAAACAAAACTTGGCCTGCCGGTAGACTATTAATTGTGACCTTCCAGCCAATAGAGCACTTCTGTAAAGCCTCCTTCAAGTGTCCTGAAACTGAAACATACAAATGAAAGGTCATGCCTTGGGTTTTACCAAACTGACATGCTAAATATCAATTCAATAATCACTTTCACTTTCATCAACCAATAATCCATACTTTGTGGTCCTTTAAGTTGTTGATTCAAACTCTATACATCCATAGATTCCATACCTTATGAGTATATTGTTTCATGTAGGAGTATAGCGGAGATGCTGCTCATAGAAGCTTATTAACTGGAAAATAAGAAAAACTCATAAGAAGACAGTAGTTCTGATATCAATTTTTTGAAATTGTGTAATCCTAGATGAATGTAGAGGGGCAAATACCAGGAGGGGATTATTTGTCTTCAGAAATTTGCTATCCACCACCACTTCTTTACCATCTGACCTATAAATTTGCAATGCAAATTACAATATCAACAACTAAGCAAAATTTCAAGAAAAATAGGTCCTTCTGAAAAGAAGTTACAGAGTGGTTGTTAAAAAAACATATTCAAGGTGAAAAATAAACTATCCCTGATTTACAACTGAAGCGTATAAGAATAAGACTTGATGAAAGCAAAGCTACAAGAGAGAATGATCAACAATAAAATCCTAGAGAAGAAATTCAAAAGAAGTACCTGTAATAAAATAAAAAATGTGTTGAAAAGCTACAAGCAACTCATTGGTGTATTTTTACAAGAAAAATATACTAGAGTATACCCATTCACTAGTGTTTCTATAAATGAAACATAATAAGGGACCCGCTAGTAGGGAGAAAGAAAGCTCTCCTATACAGACAGTTGAATCAGTGTGAATTCTTTGACTTCCCTGCTTTTAAGATTTGGAGCTCTGCTGCTCCATCCAAAGTTAAATTCATTGCTTGAACAGCAGTCTTGGAGAAGTGTTTGACTTGTGACAAATTGCAGAGGAGAGATATGCTCTTGGATGGGATGAAGAGTGTTATGTGTACTTAGGAGATAGAGACAGCAAGACATCTCTTTCTGCACTGCTCCTATACAGCCAAAATATGGAGAATGTTTCTGGCTATATTTGGCTGGGTAGGACATTTTCCATATCCAGTCTTGGCTTTCATGCAGAGCTGGCAGATAGGTGGATTGAGCAAGTGGGGGAGAATTGTAAGGGATTTGATGCCTTTGGTTTTGCTTTGGTGTGTGGGGAGAGGAATATTAGGATCTTTTTTTTATTTAATTACTGAGGAATATTAGGATCTTCCACAATCAAGGAACCAATAAGCAGGAGACAAGGCTATGCTCTTGGCTGTCTATCAACAAGGAGTTCAAATCCTTAAGAGCACAGAAGATTTTTGATAGATCAATTTTGTTTCTTTGCTAATTTCTTGCTAACACAATCTGTAGTCACTCGTACATCTCAGCTATTAAAGGCCCTTGTTTGTATCTCTTTTTTTTTTTATAACAATACAAGAAGCAAAATGTGGTTGGAAGAAACAGTGCTGAAGAAGAATATAGAGCGATGGCTTGTAGCACTTGTGAGTTGATACGGTTGAAGCACTTCGTGAGATTGGAATTCCAATTGTAGGACCCATGGAGTTTTTCTGTGATAATCAGATGGCTATACACATTGCATCTAACCCAATGTTCCATGAAAGAAGCAAACATATTGAACTAGACAGCCACTTTGTGAGGGAAAAGGTTAGTGGAGAACAAATGCTACATTTGCTATATCTACATCATATTCAAAGTCTAAAGACCAGTTTGCTGATTTGTTTAGTAAGATAAATCTACATCATAAAGGATGACTTAATGGCTGTAATCGAAGAATTTTATCATAGAGGGAAAATCTCACCGGGAGCAAATGCTACATTCCTAGTATTAATTCCCAAGAAAAAAGATGCTAGAACCCCCAAGGATTACAGACCTATAAGTCTTATTAGTAGCCTTTACAAAATCATTGCAAAAGTGTTGGCAGAAAGGCTAAAGGATGTTTTACCCTTGGTAGTTTCCCAAAACCAAGGGACCTTTGTTGCAGGGAGACAAATTGTGGACCAAATCCTAATTGCAAATGAGTGCATGGCAACAAAGATAAAGCAGGGAGGGAAAGGCATTATTTGTAAACTGGGCTTGGAGAAGGCATATGATATGGTGGATTGGCCTTTCCTCTTATGTTTGTTAGAGAAAAGTGGTTTGGGAGGAAGATGGAGAAAATGGACCAAAGGCTGTCTTAGTTCGGTGCATTTCCAATCCTAATCAATGGAGTGGCAAAAGATTTTTTTCCAGCAAAAAGAGGAATTAGGCAAGGAGATCCTCTGTCTCCCTTCTTATTCACATTTGTGGCTGAGGTTCTAAGTAGGCAAATCATAAAGGCTGATCTAGAAGGTCTTATCAAAGGTTGGAGGGTAGGGAAATCAGAGGTGGTGGTAACTCACTTGCAATTTGCAGATGATATTATCATTTTTTGTAAGGAGGTTGATGATTATAGCTTGAGGAATTTGAAAATGCTGTTGGAAGAATTTCAAAGGACCTCTAAATTAAAGGTAAATTGTGGAAAAAGTTGTGTGCTAGGAGTTAATATGGAAGAGGATGAAAGCCAATCAGTGGCACAACTACTTGGGTGTGAGGTGAAAAGATGGCCACTGGAGTACCTTGGTTTGCCTTTGGGTGGAAACCCAAAACATGAGGGCTTTTGGAAACCTGTCATAGAAAGATTCACCAAGAAATTAGACATGTGGAAAAGAAATTACATCCCTTTGGGGGGAAGGATTATCTTGATTAAGTTTACCTTAGCAAACTTGCCCACTTACTTCTTGTCCACCTTTAGGATCTTGGCAAAAATAGCTAGGCAGCTAGAGAAGATAATGGGGGACTTCTTATGGGAGCCAGGAGAGGAGAAAAAGGGCCATTTAGTAAAATGGGAACAGGTTTGTAGAACCAAGGAGCAGGGAGGACTAGGGGTTGGGAACTTAGTGAAGAGGAATACAACCCTTCTAGGAAAATGGTTATGGAGGTTCTCCCGTGAGGAAGATAGATTGTGGCACAAGGTCATTGAAAACATTCATGGCATAGCAGCTAATGGCTGGGATGCAAAAGTAGTAGCTAATGCAGCTTCTAACTCCCCTTGGAAAGCAATCTGTGAAATCTTACCTTTGTTTTCTAACTTCATTCATATTGATGTTGGGTGTGGGAACAAAGCCTTATTTTGGGAAAACCTTTGGCTTGGAGACCAACCTCTTAGCTTGCAATTCCCTAATCTCTACGCTCTATCAAACCTAAAGGTTGAACCTATGGCAAGAGTAGCTACAACCTCGGAATGTGGGTTAAAGTTAAACTGGGATTTAGGGTTTAGAAGGGGGTTGAGGGATAATGAGTTTGATTCTCACCTTCTCCTTTTGTCAAAGTTGGAAGTGGTATACCTGGACCAAGATAGCCATGACAATAGAATTTGGCATCCAGCTTCATATGGTTTATTTTCCCGTTCTTTCTTCAACATACTTGCTCAGTCGGCTAGCGTGGGGATAAACTTTCCTGTAAGAGAAATATGGTGTAAACCAATTCCTCCTAAAGTACAAGCTCTTTGCTGGGAAATGTTTCTAGGGAAGGTAAACACCTGTGACGTGCTATAGAAAAAAAGGCCAAACATGTGCCTTTCTCCTCATGTGTGTGTTCTCTGTAAGGCTTGTGGTGAAACCCTTTCTCACTTGCTGCTCTCCTGCTCATTTGTTTCTTTTATTTGGGACTATTTCTGTTCTCTTTTTGGATGCAGATGGACCCCCCACAAGACATAGTGAGTCTCTTCAACCCAACCTTCCTAAGGCAACAGAAGAAAAGGGGAAGATGCATGTGGAAGACAATACGTGTTGTTGTGGTTTGATCTATTTGGGAAGAGAGAAATCAGAGGATCTTCAATGGAAAAAGTAAATCCTTAGAGGAGGTGATTGAAGCCATCAAAATCAGATCAGTACATTGGGTCAAAACCTTGTAATTGTTCAAAAGTATTCCCACGGATGACTTCTTAAGAAATTGGACAGAAGTGGCACTCTCAGAACCACATAGAGAAACTATAAGAGTGGAGTGGAAACCACCAGGGGAAAATAAACTGAAACTAAGCTTCAATAGGAGTTCCTTTGGCAACCCAGGAAGAGCGGGAGTAGGGGGAGTCTTTCGAGACCATCATGGAGTAGTGCTGGCCTTGTTCTCAGGACCAATCGGGTTTGCAGACTCGATTCAAGCTGAATCAAAGGCTCTATGGCAAGGACTGAAGCTTGCTGAACAATTAGGGGCAATAGAGCTGGAAATTGAAGGAGACTCGCTTCTAATTATAACATGGGCAAAGCAAATTGAGTTAGTACCTTGGAAGCTAAGATTCACTTTTAGATAGATTGACCAACTTGCAAAGAGATTTAGCTCTACTTTCAATTGGGTTAAAAGGGAAGCTAATGGGTTAGCGGATGTGTTAGACAAGCAGGGAGCTAATAAACCATCTTTATTTTGGGCAGTATTGTAAACTACTTTGCTTTGGAAAGTATTGTATCTGAATTTCAGATTTAAATCAACCAATGAATTTCTTTGCTGATAAAAAAAAAAAAAAATCCAAGGGATGGGTCACATTTCTAATAAGCTAGAGATATATGACATATATGCTCCAATTTGAGAGGAAGAACTAGAGTTCATCAATAAAATAGGCATGTAGGATATTTTACTTGTCTAAAGAAGAAAGCTCCTACATGTTCTATTTTACAACTTAATTAGGGATAGATATGCAATTATATACTACTTTGTGGTAAAAGGATAATGGACTAGGTTCTCATTCTCCCAGAGTTCGAAGGAGTCACAAAAGAAGACCTTGGTTCTGGATTTTGGAACATTCTTGAGTTGGTTTAAAAGTTTCTCATGTTATCGGCTTTTGTAGATCTTCTCGCTCCTTTGAGTGTACTCTTTTGTTTTGGTTTTGTACTCTTCTGTGGCTTTGCATCTCTGGTGACATCTCATCACTATCAGATGTATTCTCTTTTCTATTAATAAATTTTCATTTTTTTCTGATCAGCAAATAAACTTTATTTATTAATTTGGAGTAAGCTTAGAATTGTTTTTACTGAAGAGTTATCCAAATTACAAGGAAACAAAAGCTTTCAAGTACATAGGCCATCCAGTTTATTTTTCACTGCAGCAATTACAGCTTTGTCCAAAATAAGGTTGGTCTATCAGCCCCCTGTTTTGCTAAAGCATCTGCCATTCTGTTTGCTGTTCTTCTTACCCATCCAGACTTTGCATTAACCTTTCTTGCAAGATGATCAATCTCCCTGACCACAAATCTGTATTTCCAGGTGCTGACTGTATATTCTTTGCCCAAGAGATCACCAAAAGAGCATCTCCTTCCACTTCCAAATCTCCAACTTCTAGTTGCGAAGCTATTTTTAAACTTTGTAGCAGG